AAAGCGCTTTTGCCTCAATGAGTGTTTTTCCTAGAAACCGACTGTTTCTGCTCAAATTTTTTTTTCGAAAGGTAACCGTTGTGCACCAACCGTGACACAGCATCAAGGCAGTAATTCCGCCGGAACTTGTTCCAGCTATCCAATCAATGTATGGTAAAAAGTCGCCGGCTAGCTCCTTCTCCAGTGCAAGTAATATCTGTAATAAACCTCGTAAAGTGTAGTAACTGAGCCAACAGTCTCCTTGAATTAATAGACATAGTTTTCAAAGGCATCTACGCTCATGTTTTTCGAAGTGGAATCGCTACTCATTTTCATGGAAGTTTTCTAAATTCTCTTCTCAATATCGTATCCGAATCGCAGCCATTCTAGCTCATACCAATGCTTAAAATTCAGTGAATGCTGCACCATGGAACAGCTAATCTATTGGTTCTCATAATAGGTCGGTACATAATTCCTGGAACACTTTGGCAGCTTTCGATTCTGTTTTTTTCATTTCTGTGACACACATATTCGATTCAATATAGAGCACTATTATTAGCAGCAAATCACCAACGCAAGGGCATGTGTCTAATGCAGGGTCAAGCGAGGCTTCGAGGAAAATTTTGGAGTACGACTACTCTAAAGGCCATGAAACGACTTTCTTCACAAGAGAAACTACGAAAAAGTTATTTTCACCCCGAAAACTGTTTATCGAGAAGTCTCTGCTACTCCACCCTCCACCATGAAGATCAAGAAGTACAGAAGAAGTAGGAGAAAAATCATTATCAATGAGTCCTACCAACAAATGGAGCAAAAAACGACGAACTGACTCATGAAAAAAGCAGACTGTGGCAGCATCTCTTCTTCCTTCACTTCCTTTGAAGGCTCACCAAGCCTCAGTACTACACGGGGTATGCTCTCAATCACACATTCACTATTCGGTTGAAGAAAGCTTTGCAACAGCCCTAGGGTCTCGCGACATCTAGTCCTTTGCTCCTCTGCGTCTCCTTCACGAGGTGAGACACCAGACGACGAACACGCCATTAACGTGATTGGTGGACTGTCATCTAGTCTTTGTGACAAGTGAGGCAAGCACTGCGATTTGATACTTGAAACTGGAATAAGTTCTCGCTTATCTGTTAAAGGTATCGTTATCGATGGACTCCATTAGAATGGAGTGGGAGGCGGCATATCCAGTCTTGACGAATCAAGAAAAACCGTGCAATTCACCGCATCACTCTTAGGGGCATTAGACCAAGTTGTGCTAGGCGAGCTTAAAGGCACGAGTCAGGATTGAATTGATGCGTTATTTTGTTCAAACATTAGGCAAGGGGTGCAATGAGGAACATTAGTGAGGAGAAAAAGCAAAAAGCACCATAGAAAACACTAAATTTCCCTTAGGAGGCCGGCCGTAGTACGACGGAGAGACACAGCGCTGCGAGGAGAGGGAGAACGCGAGATAGTACGTCGTACGCGAGAGGACGCAGAGACCACGTATGCCGTGGTGGATTACGCTGGCAGCGCGGGCAGCGCGGCGGGCAAGGCCTTAGCGCCATTGCCGCGCACTTTTGGGTCGCGATAGTGTCGCGCCTCAGTGCTTGGGGAGCCCACTATCGCACCCTGGGAAGAACTTCTGCTGGTTGCCTAATCCTGACTCGTGCTTTAACACGTTGACGACCGTGTGGTATGATGTCATACCACACTCTTTCGGCCACGTGGGACCGTGTGACATGATGTCATGTCACAGTCTTTTTTAAGCTGGTTTTCAAACATTTTAGGTAACTTATTTACGTGATGTATGCGCCATACTTAGGCATTGTTACAAAAGGCGTGGTCCCTGGAAAGAAGCTTCGGTTGATGGGCTATCGAGTTTTTCTAAAAATGTTTGAATAATGATCAAATCACAGGAATCGCTAAAATGGCCAAAATCGCATAATCGGAGACCTACCACACAAGAAAGATAACAAATACACACTTCCTGAGAAAAAGGAGTTCTCGTGGGACCGTTTGACATGATGCCATGTCACACTCGCGCGGTCAAAATAATGCGCGCGGTCCCACACGCCAGACAGCGAAAAATAGCGCGGTCGTCAACGTGTTAAGCCCAGCCCTATGATCTACCGCTAGACGAGTTTTTTGCTTATAAACTTCTTAGAAGGTAGTTGTTTAGGCGATCCTTCGACAATTACTCATAATTTCTCTACGCAGGCATTCCCATGACAAAATTTGCTTGAGATGGGAAACATTAGGGAGAAGGAGCTTCGGTGGGTGGGAGCGAGGAATGGGAATTTCTTGAACTTGTTCTTTCTACAGCTCGAAGTAAAGCTGGGGATGGAGCAGTCAAAGTAGATCAATCCTTTCTTGGATGCGCTACGCATTCTACCTCTTTTAGCATGGTAGTGCATATGAATGCAATTTGGCCTTAACACTGACATGGCAGAAGTCGCCGGATCTACAGACAGTGTACAAGATTTGCCCCACACAAGTCTGGTAAGATTTAGCATACCTTGCTTGGTCTGGAAGCACCTGATGCAAATGTACGACAAATCACAGTTTAACAACTCAATTACCAGCTATTCTCTGCTACCATGCTGTTCTATCAGTCACGAACAATAATTTGGGACTCTATTAAAATTTACCTGGGTGAGTACCAAGGACTTTACTCCTCCTCCATCTAGTGCTAGAAGAACCTTCCCGTTTGGCTTCCATTCTGTTGTTTCGGAAATTATATCATCGTTCCAGCGAGTGCGCTCGTCTAAAATGACACTGTTCGTATCGCACGAGCTGCCAGTAGTTACGAACTTGAAGCGAGTGGGTAGCGTCTTAACAGCGGTACGTCACGGCGCTAAAGAGCCTGGCCCTTATTATAACCATTCTCTCTTTGTTAGCAGTCGTATACTTTGAAACTCCTAAGCTAGTCGGACCCGTAGAGTAAGTGGTCGGCTTTGAGGAATTTAATGCTGCTTCATATTCGGGTTGTACGTACTTCCGTTGTACACGGTGGGATATGGTATTCAGCAGATTTCCTTGCAGTATCACACTGCTTTTTGTCGGGGGCTAGCCCTTTGAATTATTGTTACGATCTTATATGCCGAATGTGCAGATTTTGCTCTGCGGCGTGATTCACAAAGCACGCGAACGAACTTTTAAATTTGCCGGAAATACAAAATCAGTGGAGGTGCAGAATCAAATCAATTCCAAAATAAGAGACTTTTAAAAGAGCGATTGTGATCATTCTGCATTGAGTGACCATGAATGGGTGGTGGGAGATGTTATGTTGGTAAAAACGAAACCAATGAAGACCGTCAAAACCAGTGCAGTAGGACCTGTATTCCTACATTTAGTTCAGGATGAGTCTATGGCCCAGAGTGCTCGCTTGCTAAGGGATACGTTTATAAAGAACGAAACGACTAAACTGAAATATACGGATGCTGCAAATGGAGTGAATTTCCGCCTTGCCAAGCAACAGTAAGATGACAACATGAAATGTCGACATCCCACCAAGGAGCAGGGAGAGGTCGATTCAGAGTCGAAGCCGATTTTAGGTGTGAAGACTAACCGCGATGCTACTAAGAGCGTCTATCGCCGTCACTCCCTTTATGGCAGTCTAGTACAATAAGGGAGGAAGTAGAGTATTAAATTATTCATGACATTGAGAAGTCCATCTACCTATTTTGACCACCGCAAATACTGCCACCATAACAGGAAAGAAAACCGCGATGAAAGTGTCTTACCTTCTTTCCTTTGTTGACCTTTTCGCAAAAGAAGCAAATCTTCCCTTATCCTTAAATTCGAAATGCACATCTTTTAAGGTTTACATCAAAACAGAATGCCGACTAATAGCTGATTTTGTGAGCAACAAGGAAGTCTGTAAGCAAAAACTCACTTTTCGTCGAGCGCCAAGTCCTCAGCCGTAAGACCAGCCTTATTCTTAATTTCCCACAAGCAGGTAGGAGATGCCAACACTATTAACATTCGACAAACATGTTGGTGGCCGTTCTAAATTTTTCGCCATTCTTTGAATACGTTGCGACAATATGTCTCAATACCGAGCCCCCGCATCACCATTTCCTGCCGGAACTCTTTCTGATCAGTGATCTGATCTTTCGGTGATTTCATACTGACAATTAGCATTTTGTGTTATAGCTCTAAGAATGGATGCACATTATCATACGAACGTTTTTAATGAAAAGGGCTATATTTACTGAGTTTGGTTTCCGTGAACTAGGTTTTGACTGAAAATCACTTTAGCTGTTCATGTCTAACCAGTTGGCACTGCACGCGTTGCGCGCCTAACAGAGTTCTGCGGCGAGATGGGATGGTCCAGCGCATTACAAATTTGGCCCCATACAGTACAAATATTTCACTTTTAGGCTACATTCCATGCGCTCCATCTTTCGATGGCTTTAAACTCTCCCTCGTCGTCAAGCCTTCATTTTCCCAATCTCCGGACTGCCTCTACATAGACCGGTCTATAAATCTCGTGGTAAACTCCGCCCACCCTTTTCTTCTCTCTCATGTGTTACCGGTCTCCGCACTGTCTCTGAGCAATTTATATGCTTGGCGGTAAATCGCGCTCACTTTGTTGCATGCTCCGCCCACCATTAGAGCTTCTCTTCCTTCCCTTCGCCGGCCTCTATTCACTTTTCTTGTTTCCGGGACCACTTAGAACCAGTTATAAGTCTGACAACAAACTCCACTCACTTTGGTGCGTGCCCGCCCACCAATAGCGCTTGGCCTTCCTTTTCTTGGCCGACCTCTACCCCCTTTTTCCCGGCGCAGGGAGGACTTCTTGGAACGGAATCACACGTTTCGAGCAAACTCTGCCCACATTGGCGCGCGCTGCACCCACCTATAGATGTTGGCTTCCCTTTCGCAGTCGAACTCCATAGCCCTTTTGCCGATCCCTGGAATTCTTTGGAACCGAGTTATAAGTTTGGTAGCAAACTCCGCCCACTTTGTGCGCGCCACGCCCACCATGACATTGCCTCCCATCCACTCTATCCACCTTTTTCCGGCTCTCTAAGACTTCTCCGACCGAATTATGAGGACTTGTAGAAAACGCTGTACACTTCAGAGCGCGCTCCGCCCATTGTGGGCGGGCCTCCGCCACGTCATGTATGCTGGAAACACCTTAGACATTGCTCCCCTACACCAATTTTTTTCTGCTCTGTAGGCTTTCTCCCAACCGAGTTATGAAATTTTTCATAAAGCACTGCTTTTTTAGAGAACGCCCCGCCCACCGGGGGTGGGTCTCCCTAATTCGATGTGGCTTACCAATGCACACCTTACCCACTTTTTGCCCAGTTTCGAGGTTGTTTTGTCACTGAAATTGAAATCTTGGTCTCAGTACAGTTCATTTCGATGCACGCCACGCCCACTGTGGGCGGGGCTCCGCTTAGCTGATGTGTGTTTTGTACTTCGTGAGACCTTGCCCACCCATCCCACACTTGACCCGGTCTCTCCAGGCGGATCCCGAGGAGCTAGGGAATTTCGTGACAGACATACAGAACGACAGACGACAGACAGACGACAGACGAAGCGCTTTATAGTAAGTAGGATAGTTTACACTTTCCATTATATGTAGGTGCGATATGAAATACATATCGGATGGGAATGGGTCTTATTCATCTAGAATCCACTGCAGAGCAATGCCCTAATTTGTTCCTCCTGCTCCTCTAGTGAATTGCATGAAAGCGGTATTACTGCTACTAGCTGCCGTCGTTTCTCAAATTTCAGACATTCTCTCAGTTTTGTATCTATATGCCACTGCAATAAGCTCTTCCTCTCTGACAACTTCCACCTCTTCTTTGGTGCCAATCGTGGTCGCTTCTCTTGCGCTTCAGAGTCTACTGCTGTCCTTATCAAGCGTTCTTACTGCCAGCGCAACACTCACGTGAACCATCGCAGTCGAAAATTTGAGTTTCCACATTTATGGACGGAACTATTTCCCTGACTTTTTTAAGATTCTGATCTTGTGTGGCCACACCCACTTCGAAACATCTGAGCATCTCCAACTAACAAAGAAGAGCTACCTTCCGTGGACTTCATAGCATAGATCAGCGTTCATGCTGAGATCAACGAGGAACCCACTACTGTCCGAAAACCTTTCTTTTTGCTCCCTGCACTGTTATTGGCAGGCATGCCATTTCGTTGCACATTTGTCTAGGCCTCCACTGTTCGAGTTTCCACTATCAAAGCTAGATTGGGCCCTAATGTACATCCCTGTCAATTTGTATTTGTCTATTGTTATTATAGAACTATAATAAAAAATGTAGCGAGAGAGTATAGAGAGCGGTGTCTACCATTTATTTAACCCATTGCGGACCGCGTGCTGCACCATGTGCAGCACGCCACCACGCGGAGAAGGATAGTAATCTTCGATTTTTTCAGCATTTTGCTAAGTTACAAAATCAACAGTTTACTTTTTCAGACACAGGATATATCAATATTTGCGTACTGGTTAAATTTTCGATAGATTATTGGCCACTGATAAAAGAGATGACAAAAACCTACGGAGGTGCAATTATAACGGCGGTCCGCAATGGGTTAAATTTTTTATTATTTATCGTTGTCTTGTGTCTCCTTTTTGTATGTAAATCCTTGCAATAAGAATTCGATCGCTGATCAAACAGAGCAGCAGCAGGAGCATAATCCTTGTGAGGTTACGTTACTGTACGAGCGATGCTTTCCCTAATCTCTTTAGCACCGCTCAATACGTTTGTTGAAAGCATAGAATTTGACTGGTGCTGAGGTTCATCAGAGCGTACACTTCTCCGACGACGAGCTAGTGATCTCATATTCAACATTGCCGTAGGTAAGGCCGTTCACTTGAGTGCTACTCTCCGCGCATCTTTTTCAGTCTACTTTTCAGCGCAATTGCTGACTCCTGCGATGCTTGACTTTTTGATATGTCACACTATGCTGTAACTAGTTTTCCCAGGTGTTTGCGCAATGAAAACCGTATGATAACCCCTGCCCAACATTGGAGGCTTCAAGGCAAAGGATTGTTAGGCAACACAAATTTCAGTGACCAGCCGGCTGCCGTCCAGGGAAGAGAGGAACGCGTTTCACAGAAAGATAGAAAAAGCATAATCTTAAGCGAACAGTCGTAAAATAATTTAGCGTACCATTGCTGCTATGTGGAGTGCTGTATTTCCGTCGCCGTCAACGCACGACAAATCGAACGGCTCCAGAAACAATTTCATTATCGCAGTCTCATTTGCGGATCGTGCCGCGTTCATAAGTGATTCAACATTACCGACAACGAACAATTCTTTCGGATCCTGAAAATGAAGAGTTCTTTGATTTCAAGTCCATGAAATTTCATAATTTGTAGGCCCATTTGCAATTGTTCCTCCCTTGTGAATACATATACAGTGTGTAAACATACGTACACAGTATGTAGAGTGCTACCAAGAGATCCCTGTGGAAAAATGTGATCTGAAGGAGATTTTTCGAACCATTTTCCGCTGTTTCACAAAAGCAGGTATTCTTCTTTTTCTAGCTCCACCATTTCCCTTACTTGGCGGAGTCCGCTCTTCTAGTATGTTGATCTCAACATTCCTGATTTATCCCTTGGTCGGAATGAAGGCCAACTAATCCTAAATCATCATGCATGCCCTCCTCGCCGCTTTACATGTACCGAAATGTCTCATGGACACTGCTCTCACCCGAGAGATGGACGTGACTGCACCATCAGAGGCGGGCTTTGCGCGCCTTACGCGACGGAGCCACATCGAACGGGTCTCTTGTGGTGTCGTTACGAACGTGATCTAACTTGAAGCGTCCAGTACCGCATTTTGGTCTCCCGTTACGCCACGACGATTCTCAACATAGCATTTTCAAGCAGCCTGAACGGACAGTCTTCTCCGATGGCCGTCTGGTTTTTGAAGTTAGCTCTCTCAGGAGTGCAGCACGTCCAAGTGGCGTCTTCTGCGAAAGGAAGACATCAAAGCGACTCATCGAAATCCACTTTGCCAACATGCAACTAATAGCCGTTTATGGAACGAAGTGGTGGCCAGCGACAAACTAGGATGTTACACGTGTGAGCACAATTCCGCTTGTTTTGAAACAATCGGGCTCATTTGATACGGCTATCGCATTCTCAGTCTTCCTTATGTTCAACCTGACACCATAGGTCTATCAGATTAATCTTACAATCCAGATTATTGGCGAAAAAATTTTCTCCGTAGCGTGCATCAAAGTCTCATCAATATAAGACGCCATCATTGCAAGTTTTTGAACATTCTGACAACTAGTCGCATCAGCACGGACCGAAGCTTGTCTCTGGTTCTGAATTCCACAATGTCTTCAAAAATGACATTCTCAAAGAAGGAGAGGGGAGGACTCAAAAAGATTTCGCTCACACGACCCCGAACTAACCTCTGCGCAAGGAACTTTACTTTCAGAGCGGGTAGTCGGTACTTGAAGTTAGTCAAGAATATGCCAGCTAACTTGTCGTTAGCACAATTCAAGCATCGCGTAGCCAACACTCTGTTAAGGTACTAAAAATACTAGCATTTTGTGAGACTGATTTCGAGATGACTTATTCTATGTTCTATTTACTAATCCAATTTAGTTGTGAATGTTCATATCGATTTGTTTTATTGATGTTGTGTTGTTTTTTTAACGTGTGCCTTATGCAGACGTAATAAACTTAAACTTAAACTTATCATTGAGGACCAGGATTTTGAAGATCTTGTGGTGTGGCGACGTATGACGACAATAAATGGTGTGTAAAAAATGAAGGACCTCCATGTTATTTATACACGACATTTCTTTGAAACGACCCATAAGGCAGTTGGGAAACATATTGCTCGAGAAGAATACGTGCACCCACCCAATGGTCTCTCGGTTGTGCCGTGCTTGAGTATACCACATATTTCTCGGCATACTCGAAAGCATTTAACAAATCCAGAAAGGCGAGATGCACGGTTTACCTTTTCTTTCGGTGTTTTTTCAGCGGAAGACGGCACCTGTTATCGATGGTGCAGACTGCTACTAATGCACATTGGACTCCGTCAGCAAGACCACTCCTCCTTTTTCAGATTGAAACTGCCGTGTTCTCCCACCATACATAAACACCTTTCTGCTATGATATGTAGTCGTATGCTATCCTCCCCGAAGGGTTAGGGGACGAAAATTCCTTTAAATTTTCTCTGTCTTCCCAACTGGGATTGCCCTGATAAAGGGCCTACATTAAATGTATGTATGTAGGTTAAAGTAAACATGCATTGAAAATGAAGAAACTACATCGTTCAAAGCAAATAAATTTAAAGGAAACTTTGCGTCACCTAGCTTCGGGGAAGGATAGCATACGGCCCCGGTCAGAGGACTTGTTCAACCATTACGCATAAGGCCAGCACGTTGGCTTCCATAGGTTAACGCCTTATCATGAGGACCTGTTGCTAGTCCTAACTTCATCCTCTTCACAGTTCTTCTTACTCTGCGGTTGCCTTTATCACAGAACCATATTTTGGCAGAACACAAGGGACGAGTAAATTCATCAGAGAGATCACGGAGTCCGATGAGTGACCGCAACCGTAACCGTGACTGGTTGGCGCGCGATGTCACGTGTCATCGATTTGAATTCGACGTGCCCTTTTGTCGTTTTTCCGCGCACTCCACGGCGACAAAATGGACGTTATAGAACCTGTCTCTTGTACGGAGCGTCTGTGCTGGTATACAGGTAGGAGTATGGCAGGTAGAGGAATTGCCGGCAGCGGGTTTGGGGGCATCCTGGGGTTAACCTCCCTTGCCTTGAGCACGAAGGGCGCACAGCTAGTGTATTTCTGGATATCCGCCCAAAGATGGCTGTGGTGTGTAAGGCTATTGCACACTTGCCGTGCGAGGGTTATAGCTTCTCACTTCTACGCTGGAATGCGCGGGTACCAAAAGTAGCGTAGCTGTGCGCTCCAGTATCAACGTGGATCACGGTAGCGGCCACTCATCGGATTGTAAGAGTCGGCTTGTAGCAAATTTTACTGCTGAGGTGTTCTTGACGGTGGGATCGCGCGAGAAGTCGCGGTTGCTTGCTTTTACTTCAATCCCCATCGTGTGATTTTTGCTGGTCCTCACCGTTCGATTTGTTTCTGTAAGAGAGAAGCGCGCGAATCAGTGGCTGCTCCGAACAGAACCAAAAGCCTTTCTAGGCATGTGCTTGTAGAAAGCAAAAGCAGGAACGACGGCGCACTTTCGCCTGTGAGCGGGGACCAGTAGCTCTGCGCAATTCGTCGTCTTACTTAACATGGAAAAACGTTCACAAGACACTTAGAAAGACCTTAGCCTCTCAGGGTTCATAAGGAATATATAGACAGACAGACATGCACCGACCTACGTTTTCGCTTATGAGACAGGAGAGTAGTGCGACTCGCAACAAGTTAAAAATTATTACACTTAGGAGGGAAATTTCTTCGTGTACCCAGATTTCCTCCTATGCTTTGAAAAAAATATGAGAGAACGAGTGAAGCATGAATGGACCGATATTTGCAACGCGATGGATTGCCCTCTCGAGAAAGATTATATTAGACTGATCAATGATTAGGTTGAATTTACTTTCTGCTGAAGTTGCCAAGGTTTTCCGACATAAGAAATTTACAAATAAACACGACATGTATATCTCAAGAGCACAGAATGTGTTTGGGGTAAAGAACCGTAAAGAAGTCACTATGTTTGTAGAACCTTGTGTATGTAGAAGAACATACCACTCCGTAAGTGAGTATATTTCTCGGTCGAGGTATGTGGCGGTTTGGTGTACATCTTTTGCCGTAGGTTCAACTGTGCACAAATTGTTTTCGAGGTACGGTTTTACACATCTAATAGTCAGAAACAAGACTGATCTGGAGCGGCCTGAAGCGGTAAATCATGCAACCAGAAGTTGCAACCAAGGCGCTTATCTTCTTACCAGTTTAGCTCCGCACGCAACCGCGCGCATCAAATGGTGGGTTTAGTGAAACTACCAGATGTTTTGAAGGGATGCATCACTGCGAATCACGCCAGTCTACTTATCCTTAATTCGTCTTAGAATGGGAGCAAAAGGTTTTTCTGTGATGGGGAGCGGCAAGATGACAACGATACTGCCATCCATATTTTGGCAGCAAGCAGCGGTGGCTGGAGAAGAGTCGCTGTACCTTCAGAGC